AACCAAACCTAATTGTCAGTTGCTTTCACCATAAACATGATGTAGACTAGATTAGAAGATCGGATTCACATAATACCAGAAATAACAACTCAAAAAACAAAACTAAACTAAAGTATATATATATTTTATAGAGTTGATTGATTAATAGAGATGATGTTCTAAGTAATGTTTTATTTAAAATCATTCCTAAGGTTATTGCCGACCTCTTTATGTCATCAAGAAAATTGGTATGTGTAAGATGATGAGGGCAAGACTATTTGATTAAGGATCATTTTATTAAAAAGATTAAGCAAACCTTAATGGTTTGGCTGAATATAATTTGTCTACTTAGGTTGTAGGAAACTTTTAATTCATGTCATTTCTTTAGTAATAATAGAAATGTACAATTTTTCATTAAAAAAAATAGAAATGTAAAATTATAAAATTTTATTCTTTTACTGTTTGAAGCAGACATTCCAAACTTTTTAAATAAAAATAGGACTAATAATGTAGAATGGAGGGAGTAATTATTCCTATTTATAGTCTGACTTGATCATTGCAATCCTCCTTCAAATTCAAAATAAAAAGAATTTCTTTCTCAATTTTTAAATTATTTTAGGTTGTTTTTGGATTATGGATTTGAGTCCAAACACAATTTAAAAAAATTATATATGTTACAAATAGTTTAACATATTGTGTGAATTCACAAACAAACAACATTAGTATATGTAACACCTGTCATATTTAGAAAGTAATAGTATTTTTCATTATTTTTTAAATATGATATATCATATATATACTGATAAGGCTTGTTGTGTAAAATCTATGGTAGAGAGTACAAAATAATATATATTTTTTTTAAAAAAAAAAAGACTAGGGACAAGTCCCATGGGGCCTCATAATAGGAATTCTATGACCAATTAATTTTATTTTTTTCATGAATAATATAGTCGACAAATCTTAAAATATAAATAGTTCAAATTACTCGGTACAAACCCAGGAGGAACCCATCTCCCACTTTGAACTAGGATACATTTCATAATTAATTAACAAACTTTAACTGGTTGTTTCGTTGTTGTGGAGAAGCATGTGGCTCTGTGGGCACTTGACTAGGTAGCTTGACCTTTTGTGAAAACTTTACTATCACAGTACAAAGGCATCAAAGCGCTTAGCACTAGAATAGCATCAAACCCACTCCTCTTCAAAAACTAGTGCACAACATAGACAAGCCATGATTCTTCACTTGCACATGTACATGGAAAAAAAAATTAATTAATTTACAAAAAATATATATATATATATATATATATTCAAAGAAGGAATAACATAAATATCTAAGAAGATGATGATGCTTCTTTCTCCCAATTTGTAAGTCTTTTTTGTTGATGATCATCTCACATATGGACATATTAATATATATTGCTTTCTATTTAGTGGGCATGGAAGAAATCACCATTAACCATGTGATATTGTTTAAGTGTTTGTTTGATCATTATCACCAACATAATCATAGTCTGCCTCCGTGTGGATTTGGTTAAACTAATCAACTTTGATTTCAATCAAGAAGGAAAAGCATGTGGGAATGACAGTATGACAGAAAGGACAGTCGAATACACGAGACTTTTGTTATTGTGAGATTTAAGAAAGATCAAATGTCTAGTGCATGTGAATCTTGTCAATGCTTGATTTAGAAAGAATTAGATGTATATACAGATATCATTTTTGTGTTTCAAATCCATGGCGCGCCATAATTTAGTAAAGATAAGATGTACAAAATATCATCCTTAGTCATTAGTATGCATGATTTTTGCTTTCCACAAAGAAATTAAAATTTTTAGTTTGTTATTAGTGATATTGTCAAGGAGAATGTCAATAACTAAGGGAAGAAAATTCTTGTACCAAACGGGTGCTCTTTTTTTGTTTGGTCCTAAAAATCACACATTTTAGCTAGAAAAATATTAATTGATTAAAAATCACAATTCTCAATAGAATTTTCATCTCTTAGACAATTTTTTTAGCTTGAACATGGGATCCACCCTGTCAATATCAAAATCATACTTGGCAATTATCTTCGGTCCGATGTGTGTGTTGTTTTTTAAATAATCTCCATTCCCTAAATTATGGTGGGTCAATGATTGATTAATGTAGTCTATATAATGAATAGAAATTGGCTAGGACAAATCATGATTAAGATCAAGAGATTGAAGCACTTTGCCATGATAATGGTGTTGATAATAATACAAAAGTTTCTTTGAAAGTAGATGTTGCGATTGGAAGTGTAGAAGAGCCATAGAAATTGGCAAGCATTGACAGCCTTGTTTCTAGGGAAAAAATGGCCTAGAAAGTTAGATATCCACCAACAAAGGTGGTTGTGGTGATATATATATATATATATATATAGGAGAATATATAAAGCAAGAAAAGCACTAACCCATTATAAGAAATCAAGAAAGCTAAAATGGGTTTTAAAGAAACTTTGAAGGAAAAATTCAAAAGAGATGGAATTTCTTTGTCATAATGGTGTGTGTCTTTAGAACACTCAATATAGGATTCTCTTTGTGAAGGCACTCACCAATCTATATGTGAACTAATTTATGACTTTGATTCAAAGTTAAATAATGTACTACTAATCTTGTTGTTTGGTTGTCAACTTTGCCAATTTTCACTCCACATGGGAGGAACACTTGAGATTCAAGGAGACAATAATATGATATCAGTTTTTTTCACTTTTTTTAAAATTTGTAAAGAAAATAAATAAATAAATATTTTTTTTCTCTCTTTCTTCTCTCTACACAAGTCTATGCACAAATTTAAAATTCAAATACAACCTCTTGATGTTATTTTTGGAAGATTAAATGTTGTATACGTAAAAAAATTTATGTCAATCAAAAACAAAGATTCCATTTCCACTAGGACATCCAAAAACCAACTCTAAATTATGACTTCCATTAAGAAAAACAAAAAAATTAAAAAAAAAGGGTCACAAATTAATGGAGGAAGCCATTAGGTATGCTATCTCTTGAAAACAACATATTCCAATGAATGAGGATTTCTTTCTTGGGAAGCTGAAATCAACAAGAAGAAATAAGGGAATATTTTTTATATATATTGAATTGAATGTGTATATAGAACTTCTTGCTGTTTGGAAATGTCTCCGAGTAATTGAACCACTTTCTTGGCCAAAAGAGGATGCCCTAGGTACAAGCACATCATTATAATTTTGAAACCTTTCTTCAATAGCCCATTGAAAGTTAAAACCTAGAAAAGTCAAAAACTGAGAATCTCTTTGAGTAAACCAAAATGAAAATAACAGTTGATGCATTGATTTGAACCATTCAAAGGTGTACACTTCACTGAAATAAAATATAATAAAATATTTTATACAATGATTATTTTTTTTATAATGGAGAATGAACATTATAATGGAATGATTATTTTATTTCAATGAACTAAATGAGTTGAGTACTCGAGCCCCCATTCTAAGGATTTGAGGTGACTGTCGGGAGAGAGTTGGTGTGCAGTCAAATGGGCCTATTTCAGAGCTATTTTGATGATCCAAACCGTTCACATTTTAGAGTACATTAAATAAAACATATATATATATATAATCAAATTAATTAGATATCATTAACCTTTTCATCCACTCACATTTGCCTAACTTGGGATGGGTTAGACTCAAGTTGGGCCAGTCAGGTTCTGACACAAGGCCCCACACACAAGGCTGATTTCCATGAGTTCGGATCCTCTCCAACCTTCCTCTCCGGTCAATGGCCAAGATTTGGCCACGTCACCCTTAACAAAATCTAAGGCTTAGATTAGCTAAAATAAATAAATAAATAATTTTGCTATATTGCTTGCTCTCTCTCTCTCTCTTTCTTCTCCTCTCTTCGTCGTCTCAACGGTCGACAACAACAACCGATCTACGCTGCCGACGACCAATCACTCTTCTCTCTCCCTCCCTCGTCTCTTCCCAACAGTGGCTGATCTAAAATATGCAAATTTACCACCAAAGTTTCAGAGATTTAAAAAATCTGCAAATCTTTTCTTTGAATCATGGATTAAAATCATGATTTAAAAAATCTGGGTTTGTTTAAAAGTTAAAATCCCAGATTCAAAGAAACAACTGGGTGTTAAAATCATGGGTTAAAATTTAAAAGCTTTTAAAATCATCAAATGTTAAAATCATCAAGTCACAAATTTGAAGAGTTATTGAAAAAGAATGGGAGAGGGTGGAGAGTTATTGATTTGTACATGGATTTTGCTCTGAAAAAATTTAGATCTAGAAGAAGAATAGGGGAGGGTGGTGTTGGATCGGCCGAAGCTAGTAAGGGTGGAGGTGGGGGAGAGGAGTCCGGCGGGTCGCGGTGGTGCGTGAGGGTTGCCAAAGAGTTTGAAAAACCTGAAGACCCAAATCTGCCATGAATGTGAGAGGGAAAGAAGAGTCAAAGCACTTGTGAACACACGAGCTGTCCAAAGCTTCTTGAAATTCAAATTTTTTTTTTTTTGTTTAGCTAATCTGAGCATTTGATTTTGTTAGGGGTGACGTGACCAAATCCTGGCCATTGACCGGAGGGAGGGCCGAAGAGGAAGGCTGGAGAGGATCCAGACTCTATTTCCATAACCCCAGCCCAGCCTCAGCACATGACCCAATGAACTAAATGAGTTGAATACTCAAGCCCCCATTGTAAAGAATTGAGGTGACTGTTGGGAGGGAGTTGTTCTGCAGCCAAATGAACCTATTTCAGAGCTCATTTTGATGATACAAACTGTTTACATTTTAGAGTACATTGAGTAAAACATATATGTAAAAAATCAAATTAATTGGATATCATTAACCCTTTCATTCACTCACATTTGCCTAACTTGGGATAGATTAGACTCAAGTTGGGCCAATCAGGTTCTGACACAAGCCCACACAGAAGGCTGATTTCCATAACCCCAGCCTAGTCTCAGCACAGAATCCTACTCATTTTGATGATACAAACTGTTTACATTTTAGAGTACATTGAGTAAAACATATATGTAAAAAATCAAATTAATTGGATATCATTAACCCTTTCATTCACTCACATTTGCCTAACTTGGGATAGATTAGACTCAAGTTGGGCCAATCAGGTTCGGACACAAGCCCACACACAAGGCTGATTTCCATAACCCCAGCCTAGTCTCAGCACAGAATCTTAGGGACCAAGCCTTGAGCTGGGCTTTTTTATTTTTTTCAAGTTTTTCCAAAAAAAAATTGGAACAGGCTGAGTCACAAAGACCTTCATCTAGGCCCCACCTTAGGGGGCCTGGGCCTGGACTGAACAAGCCCTATGTCACCTAGTCCCAATAGGCCCAAGCCGAGCTCAGGCCCCGATTAGCTCAAAATTACCTTTATAAAACTCTCTAATTGACTTTGATTCACAAAAACTAGGCAATTTGGCAATTTATCATTCTCCAAACACTCCAAATTACAGAGCTTCTATCTCCTCAAGCGAAGAAAAACGCACATCAATGAGATCGAGAGCATCTTGATCAACATTAGCTGTGCAAAACCATTTGGGTATAGAATAATCTGATTGTAGTCCAGGTGAAAATTCATTGTTCGCAGTCTCCTGTTTAGATATCTCAATAACTTCTTCGGTTTCCATTTGACTTGTCCTTTGATGATGATTAAAGAGTTCGGGTTTCATCTCCAAGCAATATTTCAGATCTTCCTCATTCTGAGCTTTATTCAACTTATCATGAAGATCACTTAAAGCCGAAACCCTCTCAGCCCGCCAAGATTTTCCCTTTTTTTGCATTCCGACAAGTTCAACTTGCTTACTGGAATCATTGTCACCATTACCTAACTCGATTTTCTGAAGCTTCCTTAGTCCCTGATTGACAATGTCTTGCACTCTCTTTGTAACATTTTCACTCCTGGGGGGCCAATTATTGGTGGACCCTTCAGGTGTAGAATCCACAGTAAGCACCTCATCGAGTAAACTAACGTTCTGCATGTACCGATCAAAAGCTTCATTTTCCACTTCAATTTTTCCCTCCTTGTGCTCTTTCAACTTTAGAAACCTCCATTCATTAATAACTGCAGCATCCTGAAATTGCTTCCCAGATCAGGATTAACAACAAACAATATTACATGAGGAGAATAAATTAGGCGTGTGTATGCACCTTTCTAGTCACTGTCTTCCTTGAACGAAGTGGGCCTTGCAAATTATTAAACTGGGCAAAATTGTTGGAGAGTTGCCGAAGTGAAGTAAATCTACGTGAATTCCTGAAAGACAATATAACTACTTAAGAAACAACACTGTTTTGAACAAGGATAAATGTCAAAACCTTTTTTATCTTTTCTTTTTGACAAATACAAATGTCAAAACCTTTTAAGCACTAAACTAAAAACCAAACCAAGCCAAACTTACAGCTAACAAGCAAGCATGTCAATGTGCTAGGGAACTGAAAATAGAAAAGCATTAAGACAATGCCATGGATGATTGAGATGTGATGAAAAAAAACAAGACAAAAGGTTGGAAATTTTTGTGTTCATAGAAAAAAAAAAAACTTCATAGAATTTCAATAATGAGTCTCTCATTTAAGAGTAATCAAATACAGTGATTTTACAAAGCTCAAGACTCATTCCTGGTCATTTGTGAATGAACACTTTCCCTTCACCTTCAGTGACTCCCTAAACTATTACAGACCAGCATAACAAAAAAATATGTATGTGGGAGGACCAGAAAAGCACTGTTTTCCACATTTTAGACAGCTCTCGCCAAGTGAAATGAGCCAAATGATAGAAAAGCAATACATGTGTTTAGAAGACAAATGATTTTTCCTGGTTATAAGCTTCTAAGCATTATGTAAATGATAATGATAACAGCATAAACTCGACCAAAAATATCATCTGAGATCTCTGAAGAACATTAACTTACCCAGAGGAAGATGCGTCAGTTGATTGCTGATCAAACAAAGAAGAGCTAGACGATGGTATCTTGTCCGGAAAAGTTGCATTGCTTGTCAACACTGCAATCACAATCCAAAAGGAGTCATGCCTGTTAAAGTAGGACATCATGAAAACAAATAACTGAAATCTCTAAACCAGCCTTACATTGGAACTCTCTTAATACTCGCTCATAAATAGCAACTCTTTGAAGCTTTATTTCACTAATGAAATGAGACACAAACCCGCCACAATTCCAATGCCTTGTTACTTTAGGTACTCACAAGTTACTTTCGACTAGAAAAGCTTATTAATCTAGAATAGTAAATTGTACTGCTATGTAACCAGTTACCTCAAAAGCTTAAGCTGTCCAGGAATAGGCTTAAAATGTATATCAAGTTCCAACACTTGCATGTTGAGACTCTATTTGGGATCTTATTATGCCTCACTGCAGGTAACAGGAACCACTCTTTATCCTTGGCAGTGAGCAAAACAAACTCTGAATACCCCGTAAATTGGTAAGGTGAGTGTTCACTATACTGTCTTTAGCCCGGGATCACCCTGAATTAGTTTTCACTTTTCTTTAGACTTCAGAGTTCATAATGCTCGAGTATTAAGCCAGGGTATTCCCATCTCAATTGAATCAGAACTGATCCATACATATAGTTGGGATCACCCCAAGTAAATTGTCAATCTTTGCAAGAAAAATACATGTACTTCCCTGCCATTACAGAATGAACAAGAGGTTGCAATGCCAGATACTTGCAACCAACTTGCACTTAAAACTGTGTTCCAGGTAAATGGTGCTTTGTCAAGATAAATGTACAGCAGTTACTGCAATATAGACTCCAAGCATGGTTATCATGTCCAGACATCCATGCAAAGCACAAATACAATTATTCCAATACATCATACCCACACATTCTTCACGACAACTTCAGAATGTAATGTTTGCATACCGTGTATGTGACATGGATTTTGAGCTTTTGCACAGCAACTCTTGCATGACTGATATGGGCACCTGCACAGTAAATCCAGTTCATCAATTAGTCTTGAAGGGACAAAGATACCATTTCCATGCACATGTCAGATATTCAAACACCCATTGTACAAAAATTTAATGTTCAGGTGCAAAATGCATATAGTAACTACATAATGAATCGATTTTTTTTTTAATTATTTAAAAATTAAAAAATAAATAAAACACAATCATAAACCATGGTCTCAACAATCCCCAATAAACAAGCAATTAATGGTGCAATTTGCATCGTGACATTGTCTTCAATATCCAATCACCTGTTACCAAAAAGAAAAGAAGCCAGCATATCAGCCCAAACGTTGAGCATTTCCAACAGAATTGAATTTTTCTTTAACTGTACAGTTCCTAGGGTTCATACACTCAAAGAACTCTCCCAACACGTAGGGTTCATACTCAACTCCACAGTGGGTGTATGATACATTTCTCGAGTATTTGAGTAGAGATGCACCTTTCACATTTTCTTTCTTAGTCTCCTCAATTATTTTACCTTTCTAAGGCTAAAAATGCCCCCAATTTTGACTATTCTGTTATGTTCAACTTGTTGTATGCTGGAACTTCAATTTCTTAAGAAATCAAAACAACCATGGCATTTGCGAGCCTAACACTACTGTAGATATTTTTCCTTTACCAATAATAATAATAATAATAATAATATATATACATATCTACAAAGTATAAGCATTGAGAAGAAGGATAACATTTTCCTTGTATCACTTGCCTCAAGGAATCCATATCCACCTATGGGTAATCTCACCTTTCCTTCCATGTGTTCACCCTCTCCTTCCCAAACTAAAGCACAACATAGAAAGGGGATTCTCAACCTTCTAAAATTCATGGAAAAGAACAATACCAATATCACCAAAAGAAGTTGACAGCCCCAACATTCCCACTAGATAAACAGCACAAAGATACAAAATTTCAATGATCTTTACGGGGTGTTTGGAAAGTGACTATTTTAGTTAACTTTTTTGCTTATTATGAAAGACATGCAAAAAAATAGTAAGAGTGATGTGATTGGGTGTTTTGGCTTTTTGGCTATTTTTAGCCAAAAAGCCACCACCCCAAACGGGCCTTTAGTGATGGAAGGCTATCTATGTTCCCTCCTTTTAGTTCTCTTTTTCATTTTTATTTTTACATCTGTCTTCCTTTGATTGGTTTCAAGTCACACAAAGTATTCTATGATATTATATGCCAAAAAAAAAAAAAAAAGACTTGAGAACTTCATTATATATACACACTAGTTCCATGTCATGTCACACCTCAACTTTTTTTTCTGATATGGGATCAATTTGCTTTACAAACAATACCAACGGTTCTGAATCTCAAATTCTTTAGCTCCTGTGCAAACTATTTGGCAAATCATAGTTTTCTGAACAAAAATTCATTCTTTTTTTGTTTTTTGTTCAACTCCCAATAATTGGGCAAGTCCATTACCTATCATGGTATTGTAAATTAGCTTCACATCCCACAGATATGCAATAAACTTTGATTTGTTTAACTCATAGCTGTTTCAATACAATACCCAAAAACAAAAACAATAACAATCAAAACAAAATCAAAACAGAAACTTCTATGAACATAAACGAATCCACTTTACTCGAATCGACATAGCATATAAATATATGTGTATGTAAAACCCTAGCGTTTGAAATCTAGAGTTACGAGAAAACCCTCTACAAATTCTTAAACATTCAAATTAACAAAATGGAGATTGAAGTACCTGGATCGAGCGACGTTGCCGCACTTAATACACTTAGGTTTGTTGAGGCCGCGAAGGTTCTTAGCCACGCTGGTGGCGGAAATGGTAGCGACGGCGGAGGCAGAGTAAAACCCTAGCGTTTGAAATCTAGAGTTACGAGAAAACCCTCTACAAATTCTTAAACATTCAAATTAACAAAATGGAGATTGAAGTACCTGGATCGAGCGACGTTGCCGCACTTAATACACTTAGGTTTGTTGAGGCCGCGAAGGTTCTTAGCCGCGTTGGTGGCGGAAATGGTAGCGACGGCGGAGGCGGAGGCAGAGGCAGAGGCGGGGAGAGTGGTGGTGGCGGCGTTGTCGTCGTTGCTCATGGCCGGTGATGAGGCTGCCATTGTCTGTTACGCTCTGTTTGGAAGTTGTGTTAAAAAAGATTAGTTCGTTTGAGAAGAACGTTTGTAGCAGGACATTTTAGTTAATTTAGGGTAAATTTGAGAAAATAGTTAATAATTAATTTTTAGTTTTTAATTTATTTTGGATCATATTATTTTTTTATTTTTTATATATTTTTTAAAAAAAAAATTAAAAAAATTAAAAAGTCAATTTTTAATCAATTTCTCAAACCAATTAATCCGATTCTTGAAGGGACAAAGATACCATTTCCATGCACATGTCAGATATTCAAATACTCATGTACAAAAATTTAATGTTCAGGTGCAAAATGCATATATAGTAACTACATAATGAATCGATTTTTTTTTTAATTATTTAAAAATTAAAAAATAAATAAAACACAATCATAAACCATGGTCTCAACAATCCCCAATAAACAAGCAATTAATGGTGCAATTTGCATTGTGACATTGTCTTCAATATCCAATCACCTGTTACCAAAAAGAAAAGAAGCCAGCATATCAGCCCAAACGTTGAGCATTTCCAACAGAATTGAATTTTTCTTTAACTGTACAGTTCCTAGGGTTCATACACTCAAAGAACTCTCCCAACACGTAGGGTTCATACTCAACTCCACAGTGGGTGTATGATACATTTCTCGAGTATTTGAGTAGAGATGCACCTTTCACATTTTCTTTCTTAGTCTCCTCAATTATTTTACCTTTCTAAGGCTAAAAATGCCCCCAATTTTGACTATTCTGTAAATCACAAAAAAAAAAAAACACACACACACACCCACCCAAAAAAAAAAACAAAAAACAAAAAAAAAATTCTTTGGGAAATTACAACCAAAAGCAAAATAGTAATATTATGAACTTACCTTTATTAATTCATAAATTATCTAAAATTTTTATTTTATAATTCAAGCTTATTTTATACATAAATTTCATATTACAAAAATTAATTTCCATCATATAATTATCCATCCAAAATTTTTTGGATGGATTAATCTAGCACATAGACTTATTGGAACCAAAAAAAAACAAAGGATTTTAACCTTATATGATAAAATTAATTTTTAATTTTATCAATTTAAATTTAAATTTTTTGATTTATTTTAAATTTAAATTATTTGTCTATTTTCGTTATGTAAAATTATTTTAAAAATTGTCAAAATTCTATTGCGTTTAATGACTAAAATATATATATATTTTTTTGATTGTTTTACTTAACGAAAATAGTTAAATGGTTTAAATTAAAAACAAACTAAATGATTAAAATTAAAATTTTATGATTTATTTTAATAGAATAGTCAAATTCTGAAGGTTTTTTTTTTTTTTTTTCCCAAATTTTATCAGATCTGTTATCAAGGATAAGATCATGTGTATGGTAAAAACACAGTAATGACCGATTCAGATAGGGATAAACTTGACGAAACTTTTTCACTTATAGGCCCAAGCCCATTTCAGAGGTGGGCCAACCCAAGCTCCGATCTCATCAAGTAGGGCCCATGACAAGGTCTTCGATGTCTAATCCGGTCCAATATTTTACCCAAAAATAAAAAAGTTTCCACAGTAAAACTCCGCCCGAAGAGAAGTTATTCAAGTGTTTATGAGACATCACCAAAGATCCTCTAGAGTGAAATTTCCTTAAAGTTTCCTAGAGTGTTACATTGTGTGGTTGAAATTTACTGGCAAGTCACATCAGAAAATAATATAATTTAGGGAAAAATTACTCTAGAGGATCCTTGCTCATGAGACATGGCCAGATGATTTAGAAAAAAAATAAAAAATAATATAATTTATTAGGTCAATTAGAGTGTTTTATTCAATTTGCAAACCTTTTTTAAAACTGTCAAGTCTATAAGCAAGATATAAATTATCACTATCAAAAAAAATGTCATGTTTAAATTGAGATTTGAGATTAAGGCTTCGTTTGGGAACCCTCTTTTTTAGTCAAAAAGTCAAAAAATTACTAAATTAGGCAAAAAGCCAACAATCCATACCAAAAAGTCAAAGATTCTCTTTTCTCTCTACTTTTTGCACATCTTTTCGTAAAAACTTAAAAAGTCATCCCAAACATACTATTTTTTTTAGCTCATATTTTAGCTAAATAGCCAAAAAGTTACTAAATTAACATATTCCCGAACGAGGCCTTAGACAATATTTTTTTCAAATGATCATCTAAATCTTAACCACACAATGTAGCACTCTAAGAAACTTTAAGGAAAAATCACTCTAGAGGATCCTTGCTCATGAGACATGGCCAGATGATTTAGAAAAAAAATAAAAAATAATATAATTTATTAGGTCAATTAGAGTGTTTTATTCAATTTGCAAACCTTTTTTAAAACTGTCAAGTCTATAAGCAAGATATAAATTATCACTATCAAAAAAAATGTCATGTTTAAATTGAGATTTGAGATTAAGGCTTCGTTTGGGAACCCTCTTTTTTAGTTAAAAAGTCAAAAAATTACTAAATTAGGCAAAAAATCAACAATCCAAACCAAAAAGTCAAAGATTCTCTTTTCTCTCTACTTTTTGCACATCTTTTCGTAAAAAGCTAAAAAGTCATCCCAAACATACTAATTTTTTTTAGCTCATATTTTAGCTAAATAGCCAAAAAGTTACTAAATTAACATATTCCCAAACGAGGCCTTAGACAATATTTTTTTCAAATGATCATCATGTAATGATTTTAATTTTTTTAAGTTACATAGAAATTAAAAAAAAATGTCTCATATAATTGGAATTATTCAAACCTAATATGAATTAAAGAGATCAATGAAGTAGTATATTCATGATATGGATTTTACCCTTATTTATAATTTAAGATTTAAGTGCTTTATTTATTTATAAAGAGTTTTTTTTTTATTTATTGTGGAGACAAAATTTTGACTTATTCACATGGCTTAGGTTATTAGCTGAGGTGTCACGTTAGTGATTTAGATTGGTCGAGATGTGGTTAGGCCACATCTGAATTCTGGGTGTTTAGATGAGGAGACTATAGTCCTAGATGATAGGAAACTCTCTATTGATAGATCAAGACTCTTAAGAGAGTTAATCATATTCCAAATTCAAGGAATCCTTGATAAGTGATATCCTAGAAAGGATGAGAGTCCTATGAAGTGAGACTTCTAGGGGTGAGGGTACTAATGATTATAAAAGGTAGGCACCTCCATAGGTATAATGTATGTTTTTTTTTATATAGTAGTTTTTTTAGCCAATATCTTTGATAGATAGAATACTTGATTGTTGGAGTGTCCCGAGTGGACAAGCCACCGATCTTGTTTCTTTCTATGTATAGGTGTTGGGATTTTATATTTTTCCACGTACTCTACGGCTTAGTTCCTATGATATCGGCAAAAGATCCGATTTGGTTGTGAGGTCAAAATTCAACACCTATAATGTGGCGTCGTTTGTGAGAACTTAGTCAAAATAGATGGCCAACATCGTGCAAGATCAATGTATCAGTAGCAACAAGTCATGACCTTGGTCGAAGGAGCACCCTCCAACATGTAGGTCTCATTACCTCACATCACCTCAATATGGCCAAGGTAATAGGACCTAAGGACAATTGTAAAGACATAATTTTAAGTTGTCCATATGGCTTAGATAGTTAGCCGAGGTGCCACGTGGGTGATTCTAATTGGCCGAGGTGTGGTCAAACCACATCTGAATTCGAGATGTTCGAATAAGAGACTAGAGTCCTAAATGATGACAGGCTCTCTGTTTGGATACGTCAAGACACTTGAGAGAGTTAATCCTATTCCAAATTGGAGGAGCCCTCGATAAATAATATCTAGAAAGGATAAGAGTCTTATAAGGTGAGACTTCTAGGGAATGAGGGCACTAATGATTATAAAAGATAGACACCCTCATGTGTCTAAGGTATGTCTTGACTTGAGAGTTGTTTACTTTAGTTGATTATCTTGTGAGATTTGTTGATTGACTTGATGGTTAGAGCACCCCTGAGTAGACAAGTGTGACAACCCTCACCTCTGATTAATGCTATGAACTGATTGCATGAGAATGTTGCCTAATTGCATTTCTGTCTATTCATGTTTTGATTTCGGACTGCGAATTGGGTGCCTTATCGGCGACTGAATCAGAAATTGATTAGTGTTATATGCTAATTGGAATTTATATGATTTTATGGTAAGTTTAATTAAAAGTTGATTTGGAATGATTAAATTAGATGAAATAAAGTCAAATTACATTAGTTTGCATTTATTACACTTTTGCCACTTAGTGGCCTAATTCTAGACCAACACTCCTTACACCTTACACATGTTAATGCACCACTTTTATTCATCTTCTTGACCCCAAAAACCGTGAGAGAGAGGGAGATAGGGGAAGTTTGGTTTCAACAAGAAATTAGCTTGGAAAATTAGAAGACTTGAAGAGAGATTGCAAAATTAGGCTCATACATTTAGGATTCTAGACCTAAGGTAGGGAACTCATCCTCTCAATTATGAATTTAAGTTGTATCTTGCATGGTTCATGGAAATATTGGAGATTAGAGTCAAGTTTTACCCCAAAGTGTTGAATTATGAGGCATTGTGTACATGCATGTCCATATCATAGTGTTTTGAATTCATTTTCATGAAATTCCCACATGCATGTTCTTATTTTAGTTTTGGTTCATGAATTGATCATGTTCTTGAGCTCAATCTTGCATTTTATATTGTTTAGAGCATTGGAGTTCATAGAAGCTCATGCATGTTATGTTTTTACTTAGTTCTTGAAAGTTTCTTTGAATTGTGTTCAATTGTCTCACCTTTGGACTTGATTTTACAAATTGATCTTCAAAACACATTGTAGTATGAGTTTCCAAGTGTTTTCCAGAAAATTGGCCCAAAAGGTTGAGTTTTGATGTGTTGAATGCTTGGTTTGAGCTTTGGAGGCAAATCTGGAAATTCCAGATTTTGGCTTCCACGCTCGAGCGAAGGATTCCACGCTCGAGCGACCATATTTTGTTCAAAGCCCCGCTCGAACAACGGAATGCTAGCTCGAGCGTAGATTGCAAACTCTTAGGTTTTTGTGCACGCAG